AAAAAGTTGGAAGTGGCTCAAGTGGTAGAGTACTACCCTTGAGCTGAAGCGCTGAGGGACAGTGCCCAGGCCCAGAGTTCAGGCCCTGTGACCAACCAAAAAAAAAAGACCTTTAAAAGACTTCAACTTAGAGCCTCAAATAGCAAGAGTGGGGCTGGGAAGGTGGCTCAGTGGTAGAGTGCTTGCCTTGTATGCATGAGGCCCTGAGTTCAATTCCTCAGTACCACATAAGCAGAAAAAGCTGGAAGGGGCACGGTGGCTCAAGTGGTAGAAAAAATTAAAAAAAAAAAAAGCAAGAGCGAAGCCAGGCATGGTGGAACATATCTGTAATCCCAGCACTTTGGAGGCTAAACAGCAAGATCATTTTTTTTTCTCTGAAAAAAAAAGAAGGAAACGGAAAGGAAGAAGGGAAGAAGAAAAGGGAAGAAGGGAAGGGAAGGGAAAGAAAAGAAAAGGAGTGATCTCTACAAACAGGGGGACTTTGTCTAAACCATACTGCCCTTGCCCTGAGTTGGTCTGGCCAAGTGTGAATGCTGGCCTGAGCCAGACATTGGTTCTAACACGGCTGGTGTGAATTCATCCCCAGCTCACCAACAGACCAGTGACCCCATTGTCTGGCTCCCGCCTCCAGCTAGAGGCCAGCTTCCCTGTTTCTATGCTGCTGCATATTTGTCATTTTTCTCTCCCCAGTCATTTGCCTGGCTCCATTAAAAGAGCAAAGCTGGCATGGGGAGTGGGCTAGGAGGCAGCGTGGGGAGCGCTCCCTGGGCTCAGGGAGCTGGCTCCTCCCGGCACTGCTTTCCAAGTGCGCAGCATTGCTGAAGGGAAAGCAGAAGGTGAGTGCAGAGAGTAAGGCTCCTCCCGGGCGGGCACTCTGGGTTTCATGTTGAATTTCTCTAAGGTGTGCCTGGGCTGTTTTGGTAATGTTTGTGCTTTTCTTTTAATCTGGGGTCTTGGTTCAATTAAGATAGTGACAGATTGGTTCAGTTTCTTCCAGGAGGCCTGGCAAGACTTACTGTTATACGTGACTAGGGCTGGTCAGTTTCCCTTCTAAGAGAAAAGGCCAAGTACTACATAAAGGTGAAGGTATGGGTTCTGGAGCCTCTCAGTCTCATTCTCTCTCTCCCTCTTGATTCACTGAGCTGCTTCTTCCTTCTGAGCTTAGACTTCTTCAAGGTGTCCACATGCCATTTGTTTAGCTGTTTATTGCCAAATTGTCTTGACACTCTTGTCAAAAATTAATTGACTGCCAGGCATCAGTGGCTCATGCCTGTAATCCTAGCTACTCAGGAAGCTGAGATCTAAGAACTGAGATTCAGAGATTCTTATCTCCAATTAAAAGTTGGTAACCAGGCTCGATATAATCCTGGCTACTCAGGAGGCTGAGATCTGAGGATCTCGGTTCAAAGCCAGCCTGGCAGGAAAGTCCGTGAGACTCTTATCTCCAATAAACCACTAGAAAACTGGAAGTGGCGCTGTGGCTCAAGCCGTAGAGCGCTAGCCTTGAGCTGAATGGTGCAGGGACAGCACTCAAGCCCAAAGTTCAAGTGTCATGACCAACAACAACAACAACAACAAAAGATATTAATCCAGGGCTGGGAAAATACAGCTTAGCAGTAGAGTGCTTGCCAAGTATGCATGAAGCCCTGGGTTTGATTCCTCAGCACCACATAAACAGAAAGTCGGAAGTGAAGTGGTGCTGTGGTTCAAGTGGTAGAGTGCTAGCCTTGAGCAAAAGAAGCTCAGGGACAGTGCCCAGGCCTTAGTTCAAGCCTCAGGACTGACACACACTCTCTCTCTCTCTCTCTCTCTCTCTATATATATATATATATATATACATACACACACACACACACACACACACAATCTTGTCTTCTTAAGATAAATCTCAACTTGGTCAGAGTATGGAATCCCTTTTTATATGTTACTATATTTAGTTTGGTAAGTTGAGCTGCTTTTTTTTGTCGGTCACGGGGCTTGAACTCTGGGCCTGGGCACCATCCCTCAGCTCTTCAGCTCAAGGCTAGCGCTCTACCACTTGAGCCACAGCGCCACTATTGGTTTTCTGGTGGTTTATTGGAGATAAGAGTCTCACAGACTTTCCTGCCCAGGCTGGCTTTGAACTGTGATTCTCAGATCTCAGCCTCCTGAGTCACTAGGGTGACAGGCCTGAGCCACCAGCACAACAATTTGAGCATTTTTTGTTTCTACGTTTAGGAAAGATTCTGGTCTTAGGTTTTTCCTTTTTTTTTTTTTCATGGTGGTTTATTGCAGATAAGAGTCTCACAGACTTTCCTCCCTGGGTTAACTTTGAACCGAGATCCTCAGATCTCAGCCTCCCAAGTACTAGGATGACAGGCGTGAGCTACTGGCGCCTGGCTCTGGTGTTCTTTATAGTGTGTTAGAGAATGTGGGCAGGAAGAACTGAGGCTCTTGCCCTATTGTGCTTCTGCTGGGAAGGGACAAGTATAAGCTCTGAACACCAGTTAGATGGTTGGCAGGTAACTAATGGAGAGAACGGAACATCATCTTGGAATGGGCTGTTGGCCTGGAGGCAGAAGATGGGCTGCAGTGCTTCTGGGACGGCCGAGAGAAACCCAAGGGCTCTGCCATCTGTTGGTCTTCAGAGGAGGCCAGCTCCAAGGCTAGAGTTGTGATAACTAATTCAGTTAACTTATGCTCTCTTTTTGGAAACAGACCCAAATTTCATAGAGAAGAGGAAAAATTATCATCCTCAGCTTGAGGCTTATCAAGTTCATGGCCAGGCTGTCATGGAATGAGTATCTGGCTGTTCAGTGGTAAGGTTAGGTCAGAGAATGCTCTGGAGGAGCTGCCTCCTCTTTGGCCTCAAAGGAAGGAGAGTCCTTGTGGAGAGGCCTGGAAAACAACACGTCCCTTAGGAAAGGACACAGGAGAGGCCACAGCTCTGCAGACGCTTTTTGTAGCTGCAGCAGTGCATTAAGAGACCCGTGGCTTCCCAGCTTGTTGAGACAACCAGCTGGCCTGGGGGAAGGCTAGAGAGTCTTGTTCAACTTACCCGAGCCCCCAGGTGACCTTGAGAAGGTTACTTCTTTTGTGCCCTTAGAGCGCCGGGCTGGCTCCAGATCCCAGAGCTCTAGCTTCTATTCCTCCTGCAGACTCACCATTCCCTCCTGGGGAGCCAGTGCTATTTTCGCGCCTGCAGCCCACGGCAGAGGCTCAGGGTCCCTGCAAGCCCACGAGGCAGGCAAGGAAGGAAGCGAGTAGGCTGCCGCCATTCACTGCCTCAGCAGTGTCTTCAGCCGCCACCTCCCCTGCAGGCTCACTCCGACTCCTTCCCTCCCCTCCAGCCGGGAGGCAGCACTCAGAGTCAGCGTCTGTTAGGTAATGCTCAGCTGCCATGCGGGGTATGATGTAATCTGGAGTCTGTGGTTGCTAGGACAGTTCTGCTTTCAGTGATACTGCGTGGTCCTAGGACTAGGGTGAGAACTGCATGTTCCCAAGAAGATGGGAAGGATTCGTAGGGCTTCCCAGACAAGGAGCCTCATCCTAAGAAGCAAGATTGTTTGAGCTCTTCTCTAGAACCCATGTTTCTTTTCAGGAATAGAGGTGGAACGCAGGTTGGGTGGTGACAGGTTGGTTCTCTTAGCAACACATTGGTGCTGCAGTGCCCAATGAAGGAGCATCTTCGTGATGTCACATCCTGGCACTGGGCCTTCCTTCTGCAGAACCTCCTTAGGTGTCCCATTGCCTCTGTGTGGTGTGGTAGTCCAGAGGAGAGACTTTCTAGAGGTATGGACATGGTGGGGTCCACGTGCCAGAGACACCAGCACACACGCCTCACACCAGTCTACCTTTGAGTGGCCTTTCCTGTACCTGCTGTTCCAATCCACCCCTCCAGGGGGAACTCCTCCACTAACATAGATGAACAGTATCAGAAAGGCCACAAACAACCCATTATCGTTTGGAGGAGAGCTCGAAATCACTGTTTAGAAAAGGGGGAGAGAGCAGAGGGACAGAGGGACAGAGAAACAGTGGGATCTGCAGGTCACTGCAACTTGCTATAGCTGACTCCTCCTCAGGCAGGTTAGCATTTCCAGCCTCTCTCCTCCTCCCTCTTCTGGCTGTCAGAGCTTGTCTTATGAAAAACAAGACAAAGGAAGTGATTTCATGAGTGCTTGGACCAGACTCTCAGGATTAAGAAAAATAATAAGGATTGTGGATATCTTCTGTCTCTAGTGAGCCAGGCAGACAGCAGGCTGGAAATGGGCCTACCCAAGCTCCTTTGAACAAGTGTTGGCTTTGGGCAAAGGATAGCAGTTGCAAAGATGATTGGCTATTAAACATCACAGTGAAGCCAGGTGTTAGTGGCTCACTCCTGTAATCCTAGCTGCTCAGGAGGCTGAAATCTGAGGACTGCAGTTTGAAGCCAGCCCAGGCAGCAAAGTTCATGAGACTCTTTCTTCCAATTAGTGGAGCTGTGTTCAAGTGGAAGAACACTAACCTGGAGCAAAAAAAAAAAGCTCAGTTCAAGGCCCTAAGTTCAAATCCCAGAACCAGTACACACACACACACACACACTCTCTCTCTCTCTCTCTCTCTCTCTCTCTCTCTCTCTCTCTCTCTGTAATGGTTAAGATCCTGCAAAGGGACCAAACTCCTACCCCCACCCTAGTGCCATACACACAGTTCTGCTTGGCTCTGCTTTAGAACTAAAGACCCTTGTTGTGGCCGACCTCTTAACAGGGTAGCCTTGCCAGGTTTCATCTACTGCCCTGCAGCCCTGCAGCTCTGCTTTGGCATTGTTGGTCATATCTCCTGGCTAGGCTACAGGGGAAACCAGAGGGTATTCCTTGTAAGCAAAGCACACCGCTACCTAGAAAACAACCATATTAGGCCAGAAGCCAGGGGGAGATTGGAAGGGGGGAGGATTAGTGCTCCAACAGGACCGAATCCCTTGTCTGACCCAATTGTGGCCAACACCATAAGCCTACCAGCAATTCTTGTCCCTTGGTTTGCAGGTGCGGAGGATGTGGTGATGGCGTTTTCCAGGTCGGAGACAGAGGACCGGAGGCAGTAGCTCCAAGCCCATTGGAACACCCTGGAAGCTGTCAAGGGCCAAAAGATCTATGTGGCTCCTTGGCTGACTGAGTGGCAACAGACCACCTTCCCCCTCCTGTGTTCCCCACCCCAGATCCCCTGCCCCACAGCCACTCAGTGGGGCTGGCATCAAGGGAGATGCTGGTGATGCATTTAGGATTGGCTTAAAGGGATGGACTCATGATTGGCTGCAAGAAGAAACCTTTTTATTTTTAAATCTTGACCAACGGAAACCTTTTATTTTTATTTCTGACTCTTTATTTAAAAAAAAAAAAAATGCGCCTCGGTATCTGGCTTCCTAGGAAGTGCTCCGAGCTCTGGTGCTTTATTTAGGTCATTTTTTAGGAATGTGAAGAGGCCTGATTGGCTGTTTTAACTGGAAAAGGAATATGATTGGCTGGCTAGTGGGACACGGTCTTTTCTTTGATTGGCTGCAGGTGTTCTGCTGATATCAACAGCTTCTCTATTCTGAATGCAGAAAACAGGGTTTGGGACTTGGTGGTTATATTTGACTTGAAAGAAGAAAAAAAAAAGAGAGAAACCAAATGAGCTTTGCAATATTTATTACGCAAAGAGCTTGCTGCTGCCTTCACGTATTGGGTTAGTGTTAGAATTGGATGGGCATTCAGTATGTGTATTTGGTTTCCCATTGGCTCACTCCTGACTCCCGTTGCCATGGAATCCCCTCCTTCTGCTGCTAATGTAGGGCCTGGGGGTCCACCTGGAGATGGCAAGTGCTTTAGTGACCTCACCTGCCTCCAGCCCATGGACCTTAGGGATGCTGAGCAGGGTCCACAGCTGGAAAACACAGTCCTCATGGAGCTTTGTGTTGCCCTGAACCAGCAGCCCTGAGCTTAGCGGTGATCCTGAGGCAGGATGTATGTGCATCAGCTCCGTGAGTTGGCAGCCAGCCCATTTTCCCTCGGTAAGAATGGAATTTGCGTAGACACTATTGAGCCCTCTGCAGCCAGCCTGTGCTGAGAGAGTGCCAGCCGGGCAGCTCTTTCCTCTGCCGTACCTGTGTCGCACTCCCAGGCCTCTGCCTGGAGCTCCTCCTGGAAAGAAGAGCTGCTGCCCCTACTTGTAAAATCCCACAAGACTCTAGAGGTCATAGCAGGGGTCTCCCCAGGAGCCTGGAGCCCGCAGAAAAGCCCAGCTTATCTCCCATAAAGCCCAGGAGACCTTGGCTCCAAATGCCAATACAACCTAGCCAACTAGGCTCCCCCAAAATCTGCTGCCGGGATAATGAGGCCTGGGCAGCAGATGAGTTCTCTCATCTGATCCCATTGTAGTTTATTCATGTCTGCCAGGATGCCTGTCTGGGCCTCAGTGAGCAGGTCTCACCAGGCTGCCAGCCCTAGAATCATGTTTCAGCAACTCCTGAGGGGGGTTTACTAGCATTGGTGCAGGAGTCTCAACCCCACTCACCCCTGCTGCTTCACTGGGAATTGAAGGAAAAGTAGGAGGTGGCAGAAGTCCCTTTCTTGGACTGGCTGTCTGGTGGCAGGAAGACACTTGGAGCACCATTCCTCTCCTCAGGGCTTGGGGCTTCCTTGTGTCATGGATGTGTAGGAGCCCAGTGCCATCATGGCCCAGGAGTGGGTGGCACCACGTTGTCAGTGGGTGGCTTCCACCATCTTCAGCCTGGTTCCAGAAGGAGGATTTGAGCATTGGGGTTGAGATCCAAGTCTTCCACTATACATGGACTCCTGGTTATGTTAGCTGACATTAGCCTGCCAAGGCCGTTGATCCCCAAAGAACAAGGCCAGTGGGCAGGGAGGAGGGCTGCAAGGGCTTGGGAGATCTTCCCTCAGGAGAAACACACTTCACATTCACTCACTGCCAGCTCGGTGGCCTGAAGCTCTGGGTGTTTCAGATTCCTCTTCCCCCAGGTTGTAACGTCTGGAATCAGGTTTCTGGCTGTCCTCACTCTTCATACCTGCAGCTCCCATCAAGGGCCTGAGCTCCGGTCAATGGTGTGTGCTCTGCCCCAGCTTGTTCGTGTCTTGACTGCAGCCTCGCGCTTACAACAGTGACAGCCCTGGCCTGGCTCATCTAAAGAAGAAAAGTCCAAGTATTGCTGTGGCTTTATATTTCAACTAAAATATATATCTTTGGGGGGGCTGGGAGAAAGACAACAATAAAGAGTTTTCAGGAGCTCCAGTTGCGCAATCGGTTAGTGCGCGGTACTTGGAAGAGTTTTCATAGCGTGGTGAGTAAGCTGAGCTGCTTTCTCCCTTGGAGTTGGTGCCCTGGGGTATTTACACTGAGGCCTTCCCTAGGAAGGAACCAGAAGAAGGGGACAGGCAGCTCAAGCTGATGTCTGTGGCCAGGGCCAGACTCAGACTCTGCCCAACTCATAGTCCTTCGGGGAAGAAGTCTTTTGATGTTGGAAGAGTCTGAATATTATCCCCATTGACTGAGGTCACTGATCTCCAGGGGCACTTTCCTACTTCCCACTGAGCAGTCCCTCAGTGTGGGGGGATCCTGCCAACCTACACCCCACATCCATATAGCTGGTTTCAGGGGCCCAAACATCTCCACCTGTCCAGCCATCCCAGAAGTAGAGAATGTGACAGTATTCACTGTGCAATCATTCAGCTTTGGAAGCAACAATCATGTATCAGGGAATTTTCTTTTGGAAGCGTTTTCTGAAAGTTTTCATTTCTACCCTTCATAATAGCATGTTGGCTCTTCTTTGTTGTTCTTGTTTTCATGACCTCTGCTTTTATTCTCTTCAAAAAAATTTCTCTGGGTCCTAGCCGCTGGAAAGTTTTCAGGATATGGGGTTGGATGGCACAATAACATCATTAAATCTTGTTGAGCTGGATGGAGGCCAAGCCTCTTAAAGGAGTGAGACAAGAATTACTTGAGGGCTGGGAAGTTGGCTCAGTGGTAGAGCGCTTGCCTTGCATGCCTGAGGCCCTGGGTTCGATTCCTCAGCACCACATAAGCAAAAAGAAAAAAGCCGGAAGTGGCACTGTGGCTCAAGTGGTAGAGCGCTAGTCTTGAGCTGAAGAGCTGAGGGACAGCACTCAGGCCCAGAGTTCAGGCCCCATGACCAGACCCAAAAAAAAATAAAAAATTACTTGAGCTCAAGAATTCAGGGACAGAGCTGGGAAGGTGGCTCAGTGGTAGAGGGCTTGCCTTGCATGCCTGAGGCTCTGGGTTCGATTCCTCAGCACCACATAAGCAAAAAGAAAAAAAAAGCCGGAAGTGGCGCTGTGGCTCAAGCGGTAGAGCGCTAGCCTTGAGCTGAAGAGCTGAGGGACAGTGTCCAGGCCCAAAGTTCAGGCCCCACGACCGGACCCAAAAAAAAAAAAAATTCAGGGACAAACTAAGCAACATGAGAGACCTGTCTAAAAAGACCTCAGTATTGGAAGACATCCCAGGAGGTTCAGTAGTTCATGGTGCAGTCAAAAACATGCATCCCCTCTGAAACATCTCTGAAAAGAGATTTCTAGCCTTTGCTTGAATACCTGCCAGGGCTGGGCACTCACTGCCCCACAGATGAGCCCATTTGCTCTTCAGGTAACAGGTTCATCCCTGTACTGAGTTGGTCTGCCTTTCTAACTTCCAGAAGAAGATTGTAGATGCTGCAAGAAAAATAAAGGCAACTGTGTTAGCCAGAAACTTACATAGATATGGGTATTCAAGGGGCCCATGCTGATTAAACTCTGTGTAGACCACACACACACACACACACACACACACACACACACACACACATCACCAGTGTTCAGAGCCACACTGTCAAGCTTGCAGTTAACCGGCTCAGAGGGAGGGGCTGGCTGGCTGTGGTCCCATCTGCCCAGTCCCTCACAGAGCTTAGACAGCAGGGAGGGAGGGGTCTAACCCATTGTGTCTGGAGTGGGAAGCATGCCATGAAAGATCTGTCAGGGACACTGTCAGGTGAAGCAAAAGACCCTGAAGGCAGCTTTGGCACTTCCAGGGTCCCTCAGCCCACATGGTGGCACCTTTCTGGGTCTTCCTTCCTGAGCACAGGTGCATACGGGGTTGACCGTGACCCTGCTGAGGTGGATGTAGTGCCGGCTGGGTCTAAGAGAGGCCTGGACTGAGCTGGGTGGAGCTCATCCTGTCTTTTGTGGGTGTTTTCCAGGTCTGGGGTGGGGGTGGGGGCAGGGAAGGTGATTCCGAATGAATGAAGAGCTTCCTCTCTGTACAGGTCAACTGCACCTGTGAGCATCCAGCCTGCTCCCAGCCTCTCAAGAGAGCCTTTGTCTAGGGAAACCGATCCTGTCCCTTGCACCTGATCGGGTTGGTGGGAACAGGAGCCAACTTCCTGAATGGGCAGCTCTAGGGGGCCCCAGGGGACCTCAGCACCACCCTCAGCCCCTCCTCTGTGGACAGGTCCTTTGTCTGGGTTGTTCGAGGAGGCCGCCTTCCTCACCCCTTCCTGGAGGATGAACTAGGTCCAGTCTCACCTGGGACCCATTCAGAAAATGATCGCATCCCTTGGCACTGTCCGTTGAAAGAATCTGATTTTCTTAGGGACAGCTGGGTGGGGAGAAGGGCAGGGGAGGGAGGGGGAAGGTAGCAGCAGTTCATCCTGATTCCAAGGAAGGCCTCCACACAGGACAGTGGACTCAAGCCTTTTGCTGTCAGCCAGTGTTTTGTCCTCACTTTTCACCCATCGTGTGTGCTTCCCAGAGGGTCGCCAGTGCCCATCCTGCTGGGCAGGGAAGTCAGGAGAGCTGACTTCCTGCCTGCCTGCCCTGCCCAGGCCTCCTCCCGAGGACCCCAGGGAAGGAAAAGTGTGCATAACAGATAGCTACCATTTACACACTACATACCGGTAGGAGCCCTGTCCTGCCCTGCATAGCCCCAGACAATAACTTCAGTCCTAGAGCCTCTAAGAGCTTCCACTTCTTGGCTTTGTCCATGCTGCTTCTGTGGAAGAATTTCCACAAACACCGTTCGGACAGGTACTCCGCTTTAACTATACCTGCTAGATTCCGTGTACGGGAAATGTAGTTCCTTTCATGCTTGTCAGTGGTATTTAGAGGAGAAGATTGAGTTCATTTGGGTGAGATGAGGGCGAGAAGGTAGGGCCCCATGATGGCACTAGTGGCTTCGTAAGAATGGAAAGACAGAGATGGAGCACGATTCAAGTGGTAGAGTATCTGCCTGGCAAGTGTGAGGCTCTGAGTCCCAATTCTAGTGCCATCAAAAACAGGCTTGCTCCGTCTCCCCATGTGCTGTCTTCTGCTTGGTTATAATGCAGCAAGAAGGCCCTTACCAGATGCCAGCGCCATGCTCCTGAACTTCACACTTCCAGAAGCAC